TTTTTGGGGGGGGATTTTTTCTTATTGAAGACTAGCAGAGTATTGTAGATTTTAGTAATAAGGCCTTTGTCTGATGTGTCATTGCTAAAGATATTTTCCCAGTCCATGGACTCTCTTATTACTCTCTTAGTGAAGGCTTGCCATGTGCACAGGTGTTTTATCTTCAGCATCTCCCACTTGTCAATTTGTGTTGTCCCACTTCCCTCTGTGTTTGTGTCCCTCCCTATTTCCAATAGCCTATGGGTATATATTCCGTGCCAGAGTTCTTAGGTTTGTTCGAATCAATTCCCTCATTGATGGCACTAATAATTTGGGTTTTACCTTCAGATCTGTTATCCATCTTGAGTTTATTCGTGTGTGTGGAGTGAGGTAAAGGTCTTGCTTCAATTTTCTGCAGGTAGATATCCAGTTTTTCCAGCACCACTTGTTGAAGAAGGCATCTGTTTCCCATTGGAAAATTTTGGGGCCCTTATCAAAGATCAGTTGTCTGTGTGCTGATGCTTTTGTTTCTGGGTTTTCAGTTCTTTTCCACTGGTCTGAGTATCTGTCATTATACCAGTACCATGCTGCTTTGACCACTGCGGCTGTATAGTAGGTGCTAAACTTTCACAGTCTTTTGACACTACTTCACAGTGGATCCTTGAAACGCTTTCACTGTTTTGAGAGCTCAGTTGGCTCAGTTTTTAAATGAGGCATGCTAAGTGGGATTTTTAAAATTGTTTTTATAAAAGATTGTAATCTTACACAACCATCATGGAAAGAGATATGGGGCTAACTAAAACAAATAGGAATGAAAATCCTATACCATCAGCAATCCCTCTGCTGGGTATACAGCCTAAAGAAGTGAGGGACATAAGAAGAACAGACACACGAACTCCTATCCTAAAGACCACTTCTACCAGGAAAGCCTTGCTGAAGCTGGGGTCAATTTTTTTTGGTGGGGCAGGTAGTGGGAGAGAACCAAATCGTCTCTGCCATGTGGAATCATCCTACGTTTACCTTAATTTGGTGGACACTCCTACATTGATGTGTTAAGTGGATTTTGATGGAGATTCATGATTGTTGAAGGAGATGATTTCACTTCTGCTGGTGGGCAGAATCAGGGTGATCTGGGTATTGGTGAGATGGCATGCCCTTGGGGAAAATGCTTGAAATTGCTTATACATTACCTCAAGGGGAGAAACTGCCTGGTATTATATTGCTAATCTTGCTTTTTTCCCCCCCAGCCTTTGGTACCCAGTTCTTGTACTATAGGTTGCTTGTATTTTAGATTTTGTCTTTTCACAGCATTCTCCGTAATCCATATCACTTAATGTGGTTTCTTAATGCAGAAGCCACATTAAGGGAGCATGGCAGATTAAAGGAACGGATTACTCCTTTGGACTTACAGCTGGAATGCCCTAGTGTGAGATGGTGTGCGAAGATGACTGCTATTCCAAGGTGCGGATTTAGAAGTCATAGGACTTCAGTTCAAACCTCTTGCTTTTGAGATTGTC